AAAAGCATATGATTATATCAATAGATGCAGAGAAAGCATTTGACAAGATCCAGCACCCCTTTATGATGAAAACCCTAGCCAAAATGGGTATAGAGGGGACCTTCCTCAACATAATTAAAGCCATCTACCACAAGCCTACAGCAAGCATCATCCTCAATGGGGAAAAACTGAGAGCCTTCCCTCTAAGATCAGGGACGAGACAAGGATGTCCACTATCTCCACTGCTGTTCAATATAGTACTGGAAGTACTTGCAATAGCAATTAGGCAAGAAAAAGATATTAAGGATATTCAGGTAGGAAAGGAAGAAATCAAGCTCTCACTATTCGCAGATGATATGATACTAAGAGAACCCAATAACCTCCACCAAAAAACTCCTAGAAACAATAGACTCGTATAGTAAAGTTGCAGGCTATAAAATCAATACCCAAAAGTCCATGGCTTTCCTATACGCAAACAGTGAGAGAGAAGAAAGCAACATGAAAAAAACAATCCCGTTCACAATTATGCCCCAGAAAATCAAGTACCTAGGAATCAGCTTAACTAAGGAAGTAAAGGACCTGTACAAAGAAAACTACAAAATGCTACTTCAGGAAATAAAAGAGGACATGAGGAAATGGAAAGATATCCCCTGCTCATGGGTTGGGAGACTTAACATTGTCAAAATGGCAATACTACCGAAAGCATTGTATAAATTCAATGCAATCCCTATAAGGATACCCATGACATTCTTCAAAGAAATGGAGCAAACACTCCTGAAATTTATATGGAACAATAAGCCCCCACGAATAGCTAAAGCAATTCTTGGGAAAAAGAAAATGGGAGGAATCAACCTCCCGAACTTCAAACTGTACTACAAAGCAGTAATAATTAAAACAGCAAGGTACTGGAACAAAGGCAGAACTGCAGACCAATGGAACAGGGTTGAATACACTGACATCTCCCCTCAATCATATGATCATCTAATCTTTGATAAAGGTGCAAGTAATGTGAAGTGGAGTAAGAAAGCCTCTTTAACAAATTGTGCTGGCATCACTGGACAGCTACATGCAAAAAAATGGGCTCAGAACTCTGCCTAACACCGTGTACAAAAGTAAGATCAAAATGGATTAAAGACCTCAACATCAGACCAGAAACCATAAGGTACATTGAAGACAAAGTTGGCAAAAACCTCCATGACATTGAAGCTAATGGTATCTTCAAAGATGCCACGCCACTGGCTGAGCAAGTGATAACAGAGATAGATAAATGGGACTATCTTAAACTAAGAAGCTTCTGCACCTCCAAAGAAACAGTGACCAAAATACAAAGACAGTCTACAGAATGGGAAAGGATATTCGCCGAATACACATCTGACAAGGGGTTGATATCCAGGATATACAAAATACTGGTTAAACTCCACAAGAAGAAAACATCCAACCCCATCCAAAAATGGGGCAATGAAATGAACAGAAACTTTCTCAAAGAAGAAATCCGAATGGCAAAAAAGCACATGAGAAAATGCTCTACATCATTAATCATCAGGGAGATGCAGATCAAAACCACAATGAGATACCATCTCACACCTCAGAGACTGGCCCACATTCAAAAGAACAAAAGCAACCGATGCTGGCGCGGATGTAGCGAGAAAGGGACACTCCTTCACTGTTGGTGGGAATGGCGACTGGTTCAGCCCTTCTGGAAAACAGTATGGACGATTCTCAAAAAATTAGAAATTGAGCTCCCATTTGACCCAGCAATACCACTCCTGTGAATATATCCCAGAGAGGCAAAAATGTATAGTCGAAGTGACATCTGCACTTGTTTCTTCATTGCAGCACTCTTTACAATAGCCAGAAACTGGAAGAAACCTGAATGCCCAAGAACAGATGACTGGTTAAAGAAACTTTGGTACATCTACACAATGGAGTACTATGTAGCTGTTAGAAAAGATGAAGTCATGAAATTTACATACAAGTGGTACAACATGGAAAGTATCATGCTAAGCGAAATGAGTCAGAAAGAGAGGGATAGACATAGAAAGATTGCATTCATCTGGGGGATATAAAGTAACAAAATATGAGATTAATACCCAAGAATAGCTGAGATCAGCACCAGGAGGATTACTCCATAGCTTAGTGGCCAGCCAGGCATTCTAGAGGAAAGGGCAGCTCAGATAGAGAAGGGAGCACCAAATAAAGGGTGTTTGGAGGATCCTCCCAGGAGGGGAGATGCATGTCGAAAGTGGACTATGGACTGAACATGTTTGCCACTCAGTGCCTCTTTTGCAGACCACAACACCCAAAAGGAGAGAGAGAACACAGGGGATTGCCCTGCCACAGAGGCAGGGGAGGATGGGGGGATGGGGGTGGGTGGGATATTATCCATGGTGGTGGAAAATGGGCACTGGTGGAGGGATGGGTATCTGATCATTGTATAATCGAAACCCAAGCACAAAAATTGTAAATCTACAACTGTACCTCATGGTGTTTCAGTAATAAAAAAAATAATAATAAAATGCTCAAAAAAAAAAAAAGAGTTGGATGCTCAGAGAGTCCCATGGTGCTGGACTTACTAGGGCTCCCCTACGGGTGCTCAGGAGCAATCACTTGGTGGTATGTGGGAGTTCCGCTGTGCTAGGGATCGAACTTGGGGCCTGGCACATACAGAACACATGTTCCCACCTTTGGAACTATATCCCCAGACCCCACATTTTTTAAAGTTTTGGGGTCACTCGGCAATGCTTAGGGGTTACTCCTGACTCTGAACTCAGGAATCACCACTGGTGTGGTGTAGGGGGGGCCATATACTGATGCCAGGGATTGAACCCAGGTTGGCTGCATGCAAGGTAAGCACAAGCACTTTACCTGCTGTGCTTTCTCTATCCCTCTCACCCCTAAAAAAAAAAAAAGGATTCACTCCTGGTGGTCATTGGCCAGTCACAGGATGGGTCTGCTCAGACCCACAGTGCAAGAGGGCCACTGGGACCACCTTGTTCACAACCCAGCAGTGTCTGGGGGGTCATTGGTTGCAGGTCTGCATTCTCCCACTCCTTCTCTCCTCAGTCCCTCCCCTCCCTTCTTTTGGTTTTTGAGTATGGGGACGCTGTGGGGCAATACGGGATGAATCCAGACCTCCTGCATGCAAAGCCCTGCGCCCAGCCTGCCAGCCACCTCCCAGGCTAGCCTCTGCATTCTTCAGAGCTTGTGGCTTCTGCAGAGGCATCCCTGGTCCCCGAGAAGGTCACCTCAGGGACATGACCTCGGAGCTCTCCACTTCTCTTTCTAGCTCTAGGCAAGGAGGATGGATGGACACTGGGACCAGAGTGATACCCCAGTGGAGAGGTTTTTGCCTTGCACGTGACCCACCCAGGTTTGATCCCACTCAGCATCCCATATGGTCCCCTGAGCCCTGCCAGGAATAACCCCTGTGCCATTGTTCTTGGCTTTTTGGTGGGACCCCAAAAGCCAACAACAACAACAAAAGGGTGGACGCTGGTCCTGCCCTCCAGTCTGGCTGGGGGTGTTCACAGTGAGTCTCCGCTTTATGAGACTCTGCCCTGGGCCTTCTTAGTGCTCCTTCCCAAGGGATGAGGAATCATGGATTTCCCTTGGAGCCAGACCCTTCCCGTCAGACCATGCTCTTAATAGGCAGGCCTGCAGAATGTTCCACCCAAACCACCCCAGACCCTCAGCAATGGACTCCGGGGTAGCCAGAGAGCAGCAGGCAGGGTAGGGGTGCAGTTTGCACCTGTGGACTGTCGCAGGTGGGCCTGAGCCTTGCCTGGGCCCCTGGCTGGCTCTGGGGGCCGGATGAGAAGGGGCAGGCTGGGAGCAGCCCCGGTGCGTGGCTTGAGGCACATGTGGGCTTGACAGGGGCGACATTTAAGTGAGACCCTGACCCCCAGGCTACGAGGAAAGTGGGTGTGTCAGAGAAACAGTTTATTGATCGTGGCTTCACCGCTATCTTAAATATGTAGGCGGAGGATGACACGAGGCCTCCACTGTACTCTCCCTGCCACCCCCCTGCACCAGCCCCTGCCTGGCCCACGGGAGTTGTGAGAAACAGAAGAGAAAATCCAAGCACAAGGCTTGGCCTGGCCCAGACACAATAAATACTCGGATAGCTGAGCAGTGGGCAGGGGTCTGGGGCGCAGGAGTGAGGTGGTCTGTGTTCCAGGGGAGAGGGGCTCATGTGACCCTGTCCCCTCTCCACGCAAGCCTCTCCCAGTTGCCTGGGGGCCAGGGAGGGAGAGGGGCTGGGGCTCTGCTGGGTCTATGATCTCCCAAAGGACACTGCTCAGCTTCCTCTTGACGGTCAGGGACTCCGCACAGGGCCCAGCTGAACTTCTTTGGCTTTACCCATAAACCCACACTAGGCTTGGGAGGGGTGGGGAAGGGGAGTGTTGGCTGAAAGGACTGAACCCACTCTCCTGGGGAGCTGTGTTCTGGGGCAATAGGAACTCGGGCTGGGGGTACAGGTGATGCCCCAGACCCTGAACAGACCACGGCTCAAAGCCTCAGGCCTCTCCACCGTACAACGGGCATATTGGTAGACAGGGAGCATAGAAGTGGGGGCTAGAGGGAGCAAGGTGAGGAACTCGGAAGAGCCCCTGCACAGCACAAGTCGGGGTTCAGGCCCGCAGAGGGTGGGACCCCCATATCCAGCGAGTGGGGGGTGAGGTTTATCCCTGGGACAGGGCTCAGCCCTGTCTCGGAGGCAGGGAAGTTGTCTGTGGCAACGTGATCACGCACAGTATCCACGTGGGTGTCCATCAGGTGGAGCCCGGCACCCCACAGCTCTTCCCGAACTCCAGGCAAACGCCTCTCACCGCACGCGCGTGTTCTCGCACGCGCCCAGCAGGTGGCGCTGCCGTAAAGACCATTCCTCCGTGGATCTCCCAGCAAGGGAGGGAAAATCAAATCTCACATTTTGCAAACTGCCCCTGCAGGGATGAGGAGGGGTATCCCCAGAACCCCGAGGGCCGCGGAAGGCTCACGGCCGGGCGCCGGCGCGGGCCTGAGTTCAAACCCGCGCGCCCCGTGCCCGGCGCCGCAGCGCCCGCCGCCGCCGCCGCAGGGGAGCAGGTGCAGGCGCAGATGCGCCGGGGTCAGTGTGGCCGGAAGATGTCGGAGCACTGCTGCAGGATGAGCTCCACCACCTGGTTCTGGAACACCATGGTCATGGGCATGCTGCTCTCCTCCGTCTCGGGCCTCAGCAGCGTGGGCCCGAACACGATGGCCACGCTCTGCACCGACATGCGGTTCTTCTCGCCGTGTTCGATCACCCTGCGGGGGGTGCGGGGCGGGATCAGAGCCCGATCTGGGGGGTCCTGATCGCGCGCCCTCCTCTTCCCCCCCCCCCACTCTCACCTGCACAGGTGCTGGAAGAGCAGCCGCAGTGTGTCGTGGTTGGGGGCGGGCAGAGAGCGCACCAGGTCCCGCACACAGCGGCTGCGCTGAGCCTGGTCCTGGAGCTCTGCGGAAAAGAGCGAGAAGGTCCATCAGCCCGGGATGGTCCACGGGCTGACACCGGGTGGTGTGTGTGTGGGGGCAGCTCCACCCCTCCCTAGGCCGCCCAGCCTTGCCCCTGCCCGCTCCACCCCCTCGGCTGACCACCTCACCCCTCCGCAGCTCACCTCTGTTCCTTCGCCTCAACCCTGCCCGCTCCGCCCTTCCACTGACCACCCCCGCAGCCCTGGGCTTCTGCTGCCCTGCCCCGCCCCACCCGTCTCTGCCCACGCGGCCGCCCCTGCCCGCTCACTGATGGCCGCGATGAACTGGCGAAAGTGGGAGAAGGGGAAGAGCGGCTCGGGCAGCTCCCGGAAGAAGAGCTTCAGGGCCCCGGTGATAACGTGGACGTCCTCCCAGCGCCCGTCGTCCAGGTCCAGACGCTCATCTACGGCAGTGGGGAGGCGGGGGTCAGCACCCCTTCCTGCCGCTGGGAGGCATGAGGGCAGGGGAGGTGGGGGACCTCACCGTGGTCCACCTTATAGCGCAACTTCTGGATGGTAGCCAGGTTCCCGCTGATGCGGTACAGGCCGTCCATGTCCAAACCTGGGGGAGGGAGGCACGACCCCTGCTGACGCCTGCGGAGGGGCCTCCCCCATTCCTGGGCCCTCCCAGGGGTCCTGCTTCCCCGCCCTGCCAGGTGGGGCTCTGTCCCCCTCGCCTCTCCCTGGGGTCCTGGTGGGGCCTTCCACGGGGCACCCGAATGCCCACCCCGGGCCTCCACGGTGCGGATGCACTGCTGCACGAAGCGCGGCACGGGGCTCTTCTCGCGCTCACACAGCTCGGCCAGAGAGCAGCCGAACACCTGGTCTGGGGGAGAGGAGGGTCAGCGGCGGCCGCACCACGTCCGGCGCCCCGCGCCCCGCAGCCGAGCCCCCGGGCACCGTACCCGCGCCCCGCGCCCTCCCTGACCCTTCCCGTACCCGCGCCCGCCCGGCCCCTCTCCGCACCCCACACCCCGCGCCCACACGGCCCCTCTCCGCGCCCCGCACCCGGAGTCCTGCGCCCGCCCAGTCCCTCTCCACGCCCCACGCCCCGCGCCCCCCACCCAGTCCCTCTCCCTCTCCTACCTTTGATGTAGCCCTTCTCCCGGAGCGCCTGCAGCGTGGGCCGCCTCTGCAGGAATTTGCGCAGCTTGAGCCGCACCCGGTTCAGGTCGCTCTCCAGACCCCCCGGGCCCAGGGTCAGGCCGGCTGCCCCAGGGAAATACACGCGAAGTTATTGGGCGGTATGGGAAGGGCAGGGCTGCACCCACCCCGGTTCCCAGACGCCCCCGCGCCCCGCCCACACCTGCGCCGGTCTGCTGCTGCTCCTCTCGCTCCCGCCAGCTCCCCAGGTGCTCGCTGGACCCGAAGTCCACCGCTGGGCTGCTCTCCCTGTCTTCCTCCAGCGGGAGGTCTGCGGACTGCAGAAACGGGGCCTCAGAGAGGCAGAGCCTGTGGCCCCGTAGCAGGCTTTACAGATGGGGTATGCGACCCCAAGTGCCCTCCCGGACACCCTCCCAACCGGGAGCTTTCTCTTCCTTGGTTCATGTCTTTCACCTGTCCTGGGGAACCTCAGAGAGTTTTCCTTCTGGGCCCAGAAGGAAATACACAGGAAATACCTGGTATACACAGGTGCGCCAGCATCTCCTCCTTGGATCTAGAGTCCTACCTTTATTAATGTGGCCAGTTACTGGCAGCCACTGTGGGGTCTCAGGAAAGTAGGGTCAAAAAGCCCCTATTTTCAGGGGAACAGCTGTCACAGGGGGTGGTGGGGGGGTGGAGTGAAGGGTGTTGGGGGGGGTGGGGCTGTTCATTTCTATTGAGCAGTAGCTTTAAAATACTATTTTCTAGTTTCACCCTGTCCTTCAGGCTTGAGGCTGTTTCCGGGCTATCTAGCTTTTGCTTGCTCCCCTGAAACAGGACAGTCCTCTAGAGAAGCCCCAGTAGCACCAGAGGGGGCTGACCCTGGAGGCCGCGTTTTCAGAGAAGGGTCACTGTGGCACTCCGGAGGCTAGGGGAGGTGCCACCGACAAGGACCCCTGCCTTGCACAACTGCTAGCCATTGAGACCCGCAACCCCCAACCCCCTTCACCTACCAGCTCCTGGATGCCCTGGGTGATAGCCTTGTGCCAGGTGCTGATGATGGCCTCTGAGTCATGCTGGATCAGGTACTCTGAGCCGTCTCGACTCCGCAGCTAGAGAGACACAAGGAGCAGCATCACCCACGGGTGGTGGTGGGGAATCACTCCCATCCCCCCCACTACACTGCAGAACTGAGGGTGCCCCCCACCCTGCCCCACCAAATACTCTGCCTCTTTAAAGTCTTCCTGTGGAGGCCAGAGCGATAGCACAGTGGAAAGGCAGGTGCTTTGCTACAAGACCAACCTGGGTTTGACCCTTAGCACCCCTGAGCCCTGCCAGAGCAATTCCTGAGTGCAGATCCAGGACTAAGCCCTGAGCATCGCCAGGGGTGGCAAAAATAAAGGGGGGGGGGGCGGTGGAGAAGAAAAGACTCCCTGTGATCTGTACTAAGGACCAACAGGCTCGGCAGGTTTCCAGAAGCTTCCTTGTGGACACACAGTGAGCAAGCCTGTGGGATGGGCTGCAAGGATGCCAGTGAGCCAAGCCCTGGGACCCGTGCCCTGGCCGTGCTTTCCCCACTCCCCCTTCCCTGAGCCACAGGGTCAGGCCTGTTCCCTGGAGCACTGGCCAGCAAAACCCTCCATGAAAGAGCTCGTCAGGGCAGCAAAGGAAGCAGAGTCTGGCCGAACCCAGAGAAAACAAGTGCCCCCTCACACACTGAGGGCCTGGGAGCACTGTGCCCTCCCAAGCCAGGAAAGGCATCCTCGGGAAGCCTAGGGCAGGAGTCTGAGGGAGGACTCGGGGGCCGAAGCAGTTGCTTGGCAGGCACACGGCCTTGAGTTCTATCCCCATGCCCCCGCTCCCCCCCCCCCCCCCCCCCCCCCCCCGCGAGCATCACAACCGGCAACTGCAACCAAGGGAGAGGCGGGCGGAGAGGAAGAGCCTAAAGGCTACCAGAAGCAAATGGGAAAGTGCTGGGGTCCAAGTTTGCCTTGCGTGTGTGTCTGAGGCCCCGAGTTCTAGTCCTGGCACTGCCAAGAGAGACAAAAACAAACAAAGGGGCCAGAGGGCTAGTCCAGCAGGTTAAGCGATTGGCTTCAATCCTCAGCACCCCATAGGGTTCCCTGAGCCCTGCCAGGAGTGATCCCTGAGCTCAGAGTCGGAGTAAGAACTTAGCACTGTCAGCTATGGCTCCAAAAGAAACGAAAAGAAAAAAGATTTATCCAAGGGGAAATTTTCTCTCTCTTTTTGACAATTCGGAGTGCAAACACTACCTCACTCTGCTCGAGCAAGAATTCTACCCCCAAGGAGAACAGGTCCTTGTCCCCCACACCACCCTCAAATTCAAAATTGAATCAGTTCCTCCTTGTCAGTTTCTCACAGAAGGCAAGGCCATGGCTATTCCGCCACCAAACGGTAATTTCAGAAAATGTTCCTGCTAGAGGGGGCGGGGGCGGGGGTGGGGGGCGCATGGCATCAGATGTACCGTGGGAAAGTGGTGCTGTTAGAACCCCATGGAAAGGATGTCCTTCCGGGTCAGGGCAGGAACCTGCCTGGCACCGATGATTGCCCCTGCATGGGGGTAAATGCACTATCCCCTGCCAACCCCAGAGAAAGTTCCAGAATTCTTTTCAAGAGGCTCCAGACCTACTGATCAGAGTCAGGAGCTAAAACTGGTGTCCTGTCCCCCTCATCCATTAGGGAGGCAAATGAAACTGGGAGGATCCCGAAAACACAGGCACTGAAGCTCTCTGAAGAACAGCTATGCTGGCTGAGCCCCCCGAAACCCAAGCACTGAGCTCCCTGTGGGACAGCTATGCTGGCTGAGCAGCTGTCAGCTGGGGCACCCTCATGTGTCCCCTGGCGCAGCCCACAGGGTCCCTTGTGAAACCAGTGCTCAGAGTTCTTCTGGGGCACTGACCTCCTGCCTCTCAGCGCCCTGTTCACGGAAGTGAACACAGAAACTTCTCCAGCTTTGATCCCCCTCCAAACCTGGGAAGGTGGCTTTTGTTCTGATTCACTCCGCGGAGAGATGTGTAACCCACTGCCCTGCCCCCAACCTGGCTGTCAGGATCGGATCTCTAAAGCTCTACGGGAGCCCTCAGCCCGTGGTGCCTGCATGTGTGTGAGTATGTGAACAAAAATGTGAGTGTGCAAGAATGTGTGTGTGTGAGTCCCTATGTGTAGTGTGGGTCATGTGTGTGTATATACAGATGTGTATGAATGCCTGTGTGTGAGTGCATGTGTGTGTTACTGTGAGTGTGTGCCTGTGTGTACCTGAGTGTGTGAGTGCCTGTGTGTGCGTGAGTGCCGGTGAGTGTGTGAGAGTGCTTCTGTGTGTAAGTCTGAGTGCCTCTGTGTGTGTCTCTGTGTGTATATGTGTATGAGGCCTCTGTGTGTGTCTCTGTGTGTGTATGTGAGTGTGTGAGGCTTTGGCGTGTGAGTGCTTCTGTGTGTATTGTGAGCACCTCTGTGTGTCCCTATGAGTGTATGAGGCCTCTATGTGCCTCTGTGTGTACGTGAGTGTGAGTGCCTCTCTGTGTGTGCATGTGCATGAGTGTCTGTGTGTATGTGTTTGTGTGTGTTTGCATGCACACTCACTCCTGGCAGTGATCCTCCCGGCAATGTAGGCCTGATGCTTCAGAGCTTGAGCTGCAGTGGGGTGTTCAGGGACCACCAGCGCTATACCTAGGGGTGCTTGGGGCTTTGAGGTACCAGGGATCAATCTCAAGACTTCACATAGACAAGGCACGTGTTTTATAGCTTCAACCATCTCCCTGGCCCTTGGAGCTGATTTTCCCCCCTGCAACAACAACCTGAACCCTGGCCATCATCTGCGCCCCCTTTCCCTCCACCTTGCCCCCTTCTCTGACTTGTTCTGCCTGGCTTTATTTCTCTAGTGGATTTTAGCCACTCACCCTGTTTTTTTTTTCTTTTGGGGGTGTCTCCCCCAAGTAGTGCTCAGGAGGCCCAGGGACCCCTCCCAGGCGCTCCCTGAAGGTGGGAGGGTAAGAGCTGCTCAGACCCTGGGTGCTCGGGTCTCCAGAGATGTTTGGGGCACCATGTGGTGCTTGGGAGGTGAGCACCTCAGCCCCAGCCCCTCTCAGCTTTTGAGAACTGAGGTGGGGGGGAGGTTGGAGAGACAGGTGGGCAGTGGAGGGTGCGGTTCTGGGCGGAGTGAAACCAGCTCCTCCTGGCTTCTCCCTGCCCAGCCCACTCCCTGGGGAGCCCCTGAGTGAGGCCCCGCCCCATGGTGCCAAAAGGCCTAGAAGATTCTCCCCAGGGCAGTTGGCTATGTGGCTGTCCCTTGAGGACTGGAGATTTTGTCCCCCCAGAGATCCCCATTCCTCACCTTTATCCTGGTGACCTCCTGCACTGAGAGGTATGGATGGTGATGCTGGGTATGGTCCCCAGGGCAGGGTGGCCTCGGCTCTGGCCCTGCATTTCATCCCCCCCTTACTCTAGGCCTGCCCTGGACTGTTGCTTCTCCATTCCCCCATCACACACACACACACACACACACACACACACACACACACACACTCACCTCCAACACGTTCTTCTTGCTGGACTTGTCTTTGGGGGCCCAGGAGAGGGAGGCCCCCTTCAGCTCCACTGTGTACTCGGGGGTGGAGATCTTGGAGGGCTGCCTCTGGGGGAGGGGGAAAGCAGAGGTCCTCAGCTTAGGCAGGCCTATCCCACTGCCAGGGATGACGGGGGCAAACAAACAAGCAAGCAAACAAAGGGGACATGCTCCACAAAGGAGGTCAGGAAGGCCCACGCAGGCCCAGCCCCCTCTAACCACTCCCACGATGGGAGGCCAGAAGCAGGAGCTTCAAGAATCCAGAGATCCAGGTATTTCTTTTTTTAAATTTTGTTTAGTACTTCCTGCCCACTCCACCCACACCTACAGTGGTGCTGGAGGCCACCAGGGCTGCCCCTGGTGGCGCTTGGGGTTCCCCTTGGGGCGGGGATTGAACCCAAAGTTCCGCGTACAGAGGCTGACTTGGGTCCTTGGAGGCACCCCACAGCAAACCAGGTTCCTCTAACCACCCTGCAGAGAGGCTGACTGTGGGCTGGGTCTTCTGCTGCCTGGGCCCCAGGAGAGGCAAGAGAAAAGGTCAAAGACCTCCTCCATTCAGGCTGGAGCGTCAACTAGGGGCTGGAGGTGATGGTCATCATCATGCTGTCATCCCCACCTCCCTACCCCAGTGACCTGCTGTCCAGGTGAAGCCCCACAGGAGTCAGGTGCAGAAAGGCGCACAGAATCCCGCCCCCATCCCCTCACCCCAGCTGCCCCAGGCTCCCAGGCCTCACCAGGCCACCTGCTGTGGAGCTCTTGGAGTCTTTGAAGAAAGTCAGGACGCCGCCCTCCAGGACGGTCCAGGAGGCGCTCCAGTGCTTCTTCCTAGTGGGCAGGAAGCATGGTACACGCTGGCATGCTGGCACGCTGCCCTGGGCCAAGGCACCCGGACAGCCCACAGCAAGCAGCAGCTGAGAGCAGGACAAAGCTCAAGGGGCTGAGTGTGTGCATAGCCTCCAGGGCTCTCCCCCCCACCCCCACTGGCATGCAGCTGGGAGCATCCCCCAGGACACCCCCAGCCATGGAGGAGCAACTCGGTTCCAGTATGTAGAGCCCAGGTAACACTGACAAGGCACTCTGGTGTCTCATGTCTCACAGGGCCCCTGGGAGAGCTGGCCAGCTCAGAGGACATACTCAGGGCTGCAGGGATAGGACAGCGGGTAGGACGCTTGTTTGCCTTGCATGCAGCTAACCTGAGTTCAATCCCCTGAACCCCACCAGGAGTGATCCCTGAGCACAGAGCCAGGAGTGAGCCCTGAGCACCGCTGGGTGTGGCCCCAAACAAAAAAAACAAAAACCAAACCAAAGGGGACATGCCAAATGAAGGACAGGAAGGCCCACACAGGCCCCGTCCCCTCTGCCCTGGTCCTGGGACAGGCCCTCACCGGAGCCGCTTGCCCTTGTCCACTGTCTTGGTGCGATGGAGAACACCTGCCTTGTCCAGGGTCTTGATCTGAGAGCGAGAAGGGAAAAGTGGGGGCAGTGAAGGCCTGCTTCGCGGAGGGCAGACGCTCGACCCTCCGTCAGCCAGTAGCTCCTGGAGGTAGGGCACAAGGTGCTCCCGGAGGTAGGGCACAAGGTGCCCCTTCTCGCTGTGTTGCTGTGGCTGGAGAAGGCAGGTTTCCCACCCCCACCCTCTCCCCAGCCAGGATGACCCAGACACCAACAACCTTCAGGCTGAACAGACAGTTCACTGGCTCAACACGTGCGGGAGGCCCAGGCTTGGTCCTGGGCACCATAGTCAGGTTCCCTGAGCATAGCGGGAAGCCACTCCAGGCACCGAGAGCTGGGGGTAGCCTCCGAGTGTGATCCCAAAACAGAAACTCAGAACATTCAGCCTCGGTGGCCCACCCAGTCCCAGCCTCGAGGATCTCCAGGAACCATCCCCCCCCCGCCCCCGACTCCTTCTGTGGGGCTCTGCCAGGCCCACTTCCCCCTGCCTCACCTTCTCCTTGGGAGGCGTGGGCTCGGCAGGGCTCTCACTGTCCAGGCTGGATTTGAGGGTGTATCGAGGGGCAGGGATAGGGACCTGAGGAGAAAGCCCCATCATACAGGACAACCCCTGTCATATAAAATGCTCCTCCAGCCCCACTCTCTCCCATTCCTGGTTCTTTTTGGGTCACACCCAGCGATGTACAGAGGTTACTCCTGGCTCATGCACTCAGGACTCAGGAATTACTCCTGGCGGTGCTTGGGGGACTATATGGGATGCTGGGAATCAAACCCAGGTTGGCCGCGTGCAAGGCAAACGCCCTACCTGCTGTGCTATTGCTCCAGTCCCCCCATCCCTGGTTCTTACCTGAGGCAGCTCCCAGCGGACAGAGGAATCACTTCGGCTATAGAAGTAAGGCTTTCCGTGGTCCTCTAATCTCACCCACTGTAGGAGGCAGATGATCAGGGTCCCAGCCAGCTCAGAGGGGAAGGACAAGGCCCCTCCAACCAGACCCCAACTTAACTCCAAGGGGATTGGAGAAGCTGGCTCGGAGCTCCCCCCGGGGTACCCAGTTGAGAGAATTTGAGGAACCTACGGCTGACCCTAACTCATCCTGCCTGTGTCTCAGGCTCCTCCCACTGGGGCTCAGAGACAGAGACAAGATCCAGAGTGCGAGCAGAGAGGGGAGGGCTCTTGCCTGGCATGTGGCTGACCCGGGTTTGATCCCCAGCACCACATAGGGACCCCAGCCCTGCCAAGAGTGGCTTGCTCAGCCGGCGGAAGGTCAGCTCGGGGAGCCGCTGCCCTGGCGAGTGTGGTGGGCGAGCACCCGCCCCGGGCAGCGCACTCAGATGGGCCTCAGGCACTGCCAGGAGCCATTCCCGTGCCAGAAGCAGGAATAACCTGAGCATTGCTGGGCTGGAGAGATAGCCCAGCGGGTAGGGTGTTTGCCTTGCACACGGCCTACCCAGGTTCGATTCCTCTGGCCCTCTCAGAGAGCCCAGCAAGCTACCGAGAGTATCTTGCCTGCACGACAGAGCCTGGCAAGCTCCCTGTGACATATTCGATATGCCAAACACAGTAACAAGAAGTCTCACAATGGAGATGTTATTGGGCCCGCTTGAGCAAATTGATGAACAACGGGAGGACAGTGCTACAGTGCTACGGGGGAGAAGGGTTGGAGAGTAGTCCCATGGCACCCTGCCACTGGCACTGCCTACCTGCTCTAGGCTGAAGTCGTTGGTGTAGACCATCTCTCCATTGGTGTCTGTGTGGCAAGACCAGCCAGGGGGGGCAGCCGAGGGAGAGTTGGGGCTGGGCTCACTGAAGGAGCCCACTGGCGAATAGTCCTCCTCAGGGTAACTGACCAGCATCTCCGGGTAGTCAGTCTCAGGGGTGGGGGGCTGCAGAGAGCAGAGGAGGAGTCAGAGGCTCTGAACAATTACAGAGGGAGCAGAGTGATAGCACAGAGGGGAGGGCATTTGCCTTGTGAATATCTGACCTGGTTCCATCCACCACACCACATATGGTCCCCGAAGACCTGCCAGGAGTGATCCCTGAGCACAGAGCCAGGAGTAAGCGCTGAATACACTGGGTGTGGTCCAAACACACACACACACACATACACACACTTCTGACCCCACCCCATTGTTTAGGCTACGCCCCTTCACACTCATTTCTAAGGACCTGTGATGAACAGGAGGCAGGGACAGGGAAGTCATGTCCATTTCTAAAAATACAGGTCCCTCAACCTCATTTCTTAGAATTGTGGGAGCCAAGAGGCTGGGTCAGAGGTGCTCAGAGATAGCCCCTGCTCAGCATTGGACCAGCCTCTGCCCCTCACCCTCTGGTTACTAGGGAGCTGTGGGCAGTCAGAAGCAAGGCCAGGGGCCCAGTCCACCTGTCAGCCAGCCAGCTCTCACCCTCTGGTTGGGGAGGAGGATGGTGTTTCTGTTAAGCCCCGCCCACCTGCCAGTCACTCCTTTGGTGGGTGGGGTCTGCGTTAAGCCCCACCCACCTGTCAGTTAGCTCTCACCTCTGGTTGGTGGGGGCCCTGCTTTCAATTCCACTCTGTCAGCCAAGCACTCACCCTCGGGTTAGGGTAGGCTGGTGGGGATGGGTGGGGGCAAGTCTGAACTAAGCTCCAACTAAGCTCAGGAGACTCACCTGTCGGTCCTTCCTACCTACTGGGCACCACCCTTGGGTTGGGGGCGGAGACTACGTAGTCCCGCCCACCTGTTGCGTTCCACTTTCACCTCTGGTTCAGGAGTCCTTGTAGCCCCACCCACCCATGGGGGTCCCACCTATTGGTTGGGGCAGGCCTCGTAGCCCCGCCCACTCGGCGGCTCCGTCCTAATATCTTGTGGGAGGAGGCGGAGTTCTGTGACTCCGCCCTTGCCCTCTCATTGGGGGACCCTGTAGCCCCGCCCACTCGCCGGCCCCCGCCCTCACAGTCTCTGGGCGGGAGCGTTGTCTGTGGCTCCGTCCTTGCTCTCCCATTGGGGGCGTTCTGTGTAGCCCCGCCCCCACACCAGTCCCGCCCTTGCCCTCCCATTGAGGGCCCTTGTAGCCCCGCCCACCCTCCGGGCCCCGCCCTCACCCTCTGGTCCCTGGGGCTGCCCGGGCTCAGGCCCGGTTGCATCTCCAGTTCTTCTGGCTGGTCCGTAGCTTCGTGCTCGGGTTCGTCCTCCCAGGCCGTCTCGCCCGTTAGCTGATTGTAGAAGAACACCCGTTGACTCTCCTCATCCCAGTACTGACCCCACTCGGTATTGAGGCTCTCGTGACTGCCCACCGAGGCAGGGGAGGTGGCAGGGCTGGCGGCGCCCTCCGCAGCCTCGAAGGGCGACTCCCAGGTGGTTACGCCCGTGTGTGGGTTGTAGTAGTAGGGGCGCCCAGTGTCCGCGTCCGTGTGCGTCTCCCACACTGGGCCTGGCGGCGGGGCTGGGTCTGGCTCTGGGGCGGGCTCCGGGGCCGGGACGGGCGACGTGGCTGGAGGCTGCCGCTGGATGTTGGCGTACACGGGCTCCGCGTTATCCACCTGCGGGAGGAGGGAGCGAGTGGACATGACGTTCAGGACAGCCCTGAGCCAGGGTCCAACCTGCTACCCGGCACTGGCCTCGGCCCTCAGCGCCCTCCGCACGCACTGGAAATTGTATATAGAAAGAGAGACCGAGGAGGGGTTCTGGAAAGCTCTTTGTAAAGTACAGAGTGCCCCAGAAGCATGGGGGTAGTGGCATGAATTATTTATTAGTGATAATGAAATGGTGATAACCGAGTTCTCCCATCCGTGCACTCCCAGTGGTGAATCAAAGGTGGGGCAGGAACAGAGAAGCAGTGGGATTGACCCTTCAGATGCACAACCGGGTCCGCAGGGACAGCCCACACTTGGAGCCCGAGAACTCTGGGGCCGGGCCACTCCGGATGGAACACAGGTCATGCAGCCCGTGTGGCTCATGGACCTCTGATTCAGTTCCAGAGTCCGAGAGGAAAGATCTGACAGGCTGGGAGTAAGGAGGGGTACAGGACCAGAGCCCCTCCCCGCTGCAAGGAAAGAACTGTGGGTGGGTGGGGCGCGTGAGAGCGCCTGGCAGCTCTGGCTACCCCAAGGGCGAAGTCTAAGCGCTTAGCTAGCGCAGGCACACCTGGCTTCCACCTTCCTTCTGCCACTCCCCAGCTTTGCTACTTCAGGTAGCAAAGGGCCTGGCTGGAGGCCCCACCCTCTCAGCTGCGCCTCTCGCCTCTCACCCAGGCAGGCGGCCCAGGCCCTGCCCCACCTCTGGCTCACCAGGCTGACTCCTACTCCTCTAGGACTCAGCTCAGGTGTCAAGTTCCAGAGTTTTCCAGAGATTTCTCCCAGGTACACACCACACCCAGCCCAGTGCTCTCAATTCAGGGGAAGCAAGTGGGGGTGGGGACTGAGAACTATGCCCTGGGACCCCAGGTCGCGGGAAGGCCAGGGCAGAGTTTAATCCTGTGTTCCCAGAATACCTGTGTGTGCTACAAAGGGACGTAAATGCTGGCTTCCAGCAGGTCAAGGGCAGGGTTCCCGCTTGGGGTTTGCAGAAATCCTCCCCCGCCCCCTCCCCACACAATAGTGGAGGCTATTTTACCTCTCCCTGCTGCACCCTAAGGTTGCATTTGGTTTCATTTAGGTTTTCCTCTTTGTTTCTGAGTCTTGTCTTTTTTTTGCACACTAAACCTTGCTTGCAGTCACAAAGGTCCCTTTGTGGCCAGAGCAGCTTCACTCGACTGTAAACTCCGGGGAGGTCCTGCTCACCACAGCTCAGGGGAGGGCCCCAAGCAGGTGACTAGGAAATAGTCCTTGTCCCAAAGAGAGTGAGCGCCAGCCCTGTGCCAGCCCTGTGCCACAGGCAGGGGCCGGTCCCTCCCGTTGCCCAGGTACGAGTGTGGGGTGGGGGCGGGGAGATGAGGCATGGAGGAGGAAGTGCTGTGTTGTCCCAAGGCTAGCCCCCCCACCCCCCCCCCGTGTGCTGGGAGAATGGGGTCCAGCAGCCCTCCCGCCCCTCACCCCCAAAAACTCCTGTGAGGCCAAGCAGAGCCCCCACTTCTCCTTCCTCTCCACCACTAACCGCCCTCCTGTACTAACCTGGATCCCAGACATGAGAGACATGGACGTCCCCAAACACACCAGCCCATGGGCTCCCTGTGTCCCCAAACCTCACTCCTCTCCGTGCCCAGCTGCCGGCCGCATGGGTCACGCACTCACCGCCTGTCACTAGTGAGACCCCGTGGTGTGTGCTCTTTTTGAGAGTATGAAATGTTCAAGTGACCCTGGGACTACCCCCAGCCCCACTCCCCTGGGCAGATGAGCCTAAACCACTGCAGACATGAGGCACATACCAGTGCTAGCCACTGGGGCGAGCCTGGTGTAACTGGGGTGACCTCCAGAGAAGGGGACAGGAAGCACCTCCTGGCTGCACTCACAGTGCAGGGACTGGGGGTCTGTCCCAGGGCTGAGGAAGGCAGCTCTTTGGGGGAGGGGGTGTCTGCCCAGGGGCTCCCTGCTGGGAGGTGGGTGCAGGGGAGCGGGCAGGAAGGAGCTGGGTGTCAGGGTGCCAGGCCCTGCATGAGGAGGGCGGGTCAGTATCCCCCTGGGGCTCCGGAGCACAGAACCCCACAGTTCGGGCTGCCCACCCCCCGAAACACACAGTCAGCTTCAGGGGGTGAGAAAGGGCCTCCAGGTCAGGGGTCTGTGACCCTTTGAACTCTGGGGCTCTCGGTGCTCTCCCACCCGGAGCTAAGATGAGGGGTTTTTCTCTCCGTGGCCTTCCAGGGAGATAGATGGAGGTAGCGCCTGCCTGGCTCACCCCAACTCTGGGAGCCCAGACAAGACCCAAGATACAGCCCAGTGGGGGCCTGACCAGGACACCCAGACCACAGCTGTGCTGGCCACCAGGGGACCCCACACAGGAAAAGAGGAAGTGGTCTCCTCACCTCAGGAGCTACGGGGGGCCCCAACCCTCCCCCCTAGACCTAGCTGCTCAGTCCCTCCCAAGGTCTCCTCCAGCGTCCAGTGCCCCCCTATGCCCGTGAGCAGGAGGCCTGCAGCTCTGCCCCCTGCAAATGTGGTCTCTCCTCATCCCTGAGCCGCGGACTTCCATGGGCAGGGCCTGGGAGAAGGGAAGTGGGAAGGAGGGAGGTGTCCCCAGCATCCAGGACACTCTCTGCTCCGAACCCAGCCTAGCCAGAGAGTAGAGGTGTAAAGGCCACCGGTGACTCTGACTCCATGGGGGCCCCCTGCCAGCCCCATCACGCCCCCCTGCCAGCCCCGTTGCAGCCGAGCCTGGACCCAGACGCCAGGGACCCCTACCTCTCCCCGCAGAGCCCGGCTCTGCCTCCTGGTCAGCCTGGCAATCATGTCCACCGTCGGGGTCCCTAGGCGGGTCTGGGGGAGGGCGCTGGGGGCAGGCACCCGGCTGGCAGAGGGCAACAGGGAAACAAGAAGTTGCCTGAGATGGCGGGAGGCTGAGTCTCAGCCCATTTCCTGCCGGCTGCGGAAGTGCCGTCTGTGAGAAAGACGCGAAAGGTGGGGGTCGGGCAGGGTGGAGGAACCCGAGGGGGCGCTGCTTCCACATGTGAGGCACTCGGATCACCTGCAGGTCCATGTCCAGGCCTGTATCAACTACAGAGCAGGGTCCGAGGAGCCCGCGGGGGCTGGGGGCGGGGCAGATGGGTGAGGGGGTGTGGGGGCTGCTGGGCACGGGGGCCTGGGAACTGGCATCAACAGGCCTTGAGTGGTCCTCAGCTTGCCCGAGGCCCCGGGGATGGGCTGGGAAAGAGGAACCTTGGGGGAAGGGTCCAGAGAGGAAGGGAACACACTGGAACTTCGCTGGGCACCATATCACCCGTGTGCCTGACCACCTGGGTTGGCCTTTGCCCGCTGCAGTTAGCAGGTGTGTATGCCGGAAGAGAGGGACTCAAAACAAGACCCCCAGAACCTCCCGGGACCCTCTTCCCAGGCGTCTATGAAGACAGACTGGGCAGGAAGCCTTAGCCAGTGGAGACGGCGAAGACTCCCCTGACCCCTCAGAAGTGCTTCCTCCGGCCCCAGTGCCAGGAAGCACCACCAGCCCCAACGCTCCCCTGCAGTGGCTGCCAGCGTCCAGGTCAGCTCCCCTGGCTTCGGCCAGTGCTCCTGCCCCCCGCCCTGGCTCTGCTTTTGTCCCCCAGGCTTCTCCCCAGCCCACTGTGAGCTCTGGAATGATGGGCATTTCCAGAGGTCTGGATCCTGTGCCTGCTCAGTCCTCAAAGGCTCCAGAGTCCCCCAACCCCCATCCTGGGCTCCAGGACCCCCAGGGAGATGAATTCCCTGAAAAGACTGGACAGAGTCTGCATGCTTGCCACACACCACACTGCCTCCACCCTGAGGGCAAGAACTTGTGCCACACACACACACACACACACACACACACACAACCCATGTGTGTGCAACATACACGTGCATGTACACACATATGCATGTACACACACACTCGTACACACATGAGAGAGGAGGTAAGGAGAGGGGAGAGAGGTAGAAGGCGGAGTTGTGGGTGCAGAGACCACAGCAGAGGTGGCCACTGACCTTCCACCCCCGCTCCTCTTCTGCTGGAGTGGGTCTCTCTACTCAGCCTTAGGCTCCGGGGACAGGCTCTGGAGAATTCCCCCTGCCTTGGAGGAGGCCATGACCACAGTGGCCCCAATGGGCTCTGGCCTGGTGGGGACCCACTGTGGTACCAGGGGCAGGAGGAGGCCCTGCATCCCCCTTAACCTCAGCCCTTCTCTTCCGGACCCACTGGGCAGGGTTAGGCTGTGAAGAGCCGCACTGGGGCGGGGAGCGGGAACTCAGATGCTGCTGGGTTCTGTCCTGTCCCTGTTCTAGGCGCCCAGCTTGGGGATGAGGGTGAGGATACACTGTGACACTCTCCTTCAGGCTGAGATACATAGAACCGGGAACTTTCCCTGGGGGGGGGGCGGGTCCCTCCCTGCCACTCTGCCAGGACAGAGTCTGGCCCTGCCCAGTACCTGCCACTCACCCTGGGCATGCACCAGCCATGAGGGGGTTGGGAGGGCTGGGGGACAGGTCTTCAAACCTCAGATTTCTGGGGAGACCAGTCTGAGTCTGAGTAACAGGGTTGGGCTGGGGCTGGTCACCAGTGAAAAGAGTGCCAGGGTATGAGTGTGTGTGTGTGTGTGTGTGTGTCTGTGTGTGTGTGAGTGTGCATATGTGTGAGAGTGTGTATGTGTGTGGGAGGGTGTGTGTGTGGGAGTGTGTATGTGTGTATATGGGGGTGGCGTGGGGGCCTTGGGTCTGGGGCAGAAACTTCCTTTGATTAAAAGAGGGAAGCGTGGGCCAAGGGTCAGACTGGATTCTGGGCAGACTCTGCTTCCCCCTGGGCATCTCCTGAATGGGGAGCTGGGGCAGGCCCAGCCCAGGGGGCTGGTCTCTGAGACAGTGCCCGCCCGCATGCCTGCCCGCAGACACTGGTTCCCACGTGGCTGTGGGGAAGAGGGCAGGGCTGCACTTCTGCTTTTCTG